GAGAGAGAGAGAGAGAGAGAGAGAGAGAGAGAGAGAGAGAGAGAGAGAGAGAGAGAGAGAGAGAGAGAGAGAGAGAGAGAGAGAGAGAGACGAGCTGCCACTTGTATGGAAGTTGGAACTTCTTTGTCGTTCTTTGAGTTTTAAATAATAAAATCTAGGTTCTCATAGTGTTCACATCGTTTCTTGGGTCCGAGCACGGTACGCATGAACTGTGAGATTGCATATTTGATGACTGTGTGCTAATTGGGCGAGATCATTGCGGAAACCAATCTGATCGGAAGAAAATCAATATAAGAAGAAAGAGAGCTTAAGAAGTTTGAATTGAAGGGAGTTACTTGCAAAAATCACAGAAATTTTTCATTTTCATTTAAGGAGCAGCTTATGCGAGGCTAAAGCCCCGATGTGCCCCTTTCAGGCCCTGCCAAGCAGCAAATCGGCCGCCCTAAGTGAAGGCAGGCTCGACGAGGGCCTCAGGGCCCTGAATTTTGGCCACCACGCAACTAAGGAAATTCAGGCAGTTGCACAGCGCCAGTTGGTTGAGAGAACCTAGGCCCTGGGTTGCCTGTTTGCATGAATCAAAGGCAGGCCCTGGGCTGGATACGAGATGTGGGCCAGACACAGGCCGATGACAGTTGGGCGCAAGCAACCACCACAGGCCCAGGGCCTGAGTTGTTTGGACTGGGCCTCAGCCTACCGGGGCCTACCGGAAGCTTCTTGGGAAAGGCCCAGCGCAGCCAGGGACAGAACGCAGGCAGGCCACTTCCATATAGCAAAGGGCCTGCCTCCGCATTGGGCATTCGGGTGCTGGCTGCATGCTGCGCAAGCGCTGCTGTGCTGAAGCTGGCCAGCGCTCACGCACTCATGGGCGAGCTGGAAGGAGCAGGCAGCCATAGCCGAGCTGCGCTGCTGTGAGCTGGGTGTGGCGCAGGGTGGTCCTTGGGTGCATGTGGCATCTGTGTGTTGGGGAACGAGGTTGTGAGTGATGCGAGAGACATACCTGGTGCTGGAAGCGTGCGGCATTGGCCGCTATCTGCTCGTACTTCGGGAGAGCTGTTGTCGTCTTCTTCGGCATTGTAGTCTAGGCTAGATAGGATCTGCCATCTGTAGTCTGGGCGCCGAGCGCCAGATAGAATATCAACATTGGTTCTGTGTTGATGATGATGAGACTATTCCAACATTGTCAATTATGAGCTTTTGCTGTGCTCTTATTTGGTGGGACTCGTGGTGCAATTCTGCTTTTGGTTCGAGGTCACGACTATCTGGTCACATGTGTATGATGCTGTTTGATTTTTTAGGTTCGCTATCGCTCATCTTCCTTGCACTTATTCCATTTGGCTCTATAATTGTGTTGTGTTCGGAAATTTCAAGCCGTATTTCATTCATAAGTTCTCCGATTTAAACAGAAGAGAATTTTTCATGTTTTGACCTTTTGTAATTGGAGTTGTTTGGATGGGTGTTTGTCCTGAGGTATTCCTAGAGTGTATGCATACCTCTGTAAGTAATTTCAGCAAAAGATGCAAGTAGGAATTTTCTGCACTTCATAAATGATAGAAATTAATTAAGACTCGATGACAAAACACTTCTTTGCCAGAATCAAAGCCAACTCGAGAGCGGGTACGATAGAAGGCCTGAGATCTACTACAGCCCTAAAGATCACGAGATCAGATAGTGAAGGGATGTTAGAGATAGCAAAGATTTTTTACAAGGACCTCTACCAGTCAAAGACTCCTACACCAACAACACCCAACACAAGGGAGGCAAGACAGAAAATGCTCCAATATCTGGAACAGACGATAACGGCCGCGCAGGCTGAGATGCTAGACAAAACCATCACAATCGAAGAACAACACCAAGCCTTAACAGGTATGAATAACGGTAAGACGCCAGGGATTGATGGATTAACAAAAAAATTCTGGGAAAAAATTTGGCCTCTTCTAGGAACGGATCTGTTAAACTATTACAACGACAGCTGGGCGAGAGGGGGGCTGGGCAACCTACTCAGCGGCAGCGTGGTCACACTACTCTATAAAAAAGGTGACAAGGAAGACATTAGAAATTATAGGCCGATTTCGCTGCTAACACTTCCATATAAGATTCTGGTGAAGGCCCTCTCCAACCAAATCACTAGAATCACAAATAAATGTTTTCACATTGATCAGACCGGTTTCATCCCAGGTCGGTACATTCTAGACAATGTATTAACACTAAACGAGGCGGTAAGGAAAGTCAGGGAAAGAAGAATAAATACGGCCATACTTTTCTTCGATTTTGAAAAGGCATATGATCAAGTGAACTGAGATTTTATGGATGCAAGTATGGAAAGAATGGGGGTTGGACCGAATTTCAAAAAATGGGTTCGTATACTCTACAAAGATGCAGTGGGCTGCGTCCAAGTCAATGGCCTGTTATCGGACTGCTACCCGATATTCCGTTCGGTCCGACAAAGGAGACCCGTTGGCCCCATCGATTTTTCTGTTTGTAATGGAAACCATCGCATCATTCCTACGCAAAGACACATCGATTCACAAACTCCCCGTCATCAATAC